CTTTAAGCCCTCTTTTCTCTCCTTCTCCCCTTGTTTTGTTATTTTACCTGGAGGTGCAGGTGTGAAAGGGTGAGGCCGTGGAAAAACATTCGATTCCGTAAGCTTGTCATGAAGGAACCCATTGACTGACCTCTGCATCTTGGCACACAATGACAAATGGGTTTGCAATTTTCCGCCTGACTGAGGGGCAACAAAGCACATTTCCACTTTCACCAGTAGGCAGCGAGAGTACAGTCTCCCGCTATCTCACTTGCTCTTTAACCAGGCGGTAAGCGTTACACATAGCTGGACTCTTTACTTTGGCGCCTTCTACCCGTACGGTCAAAACAGACAGTGCCACTCGGTGTGATGTATCAAGGCAAACATAGTTAAGTGAAAGCCTGACTTCACGCAGTGAGGTAATCTGTTGATGAAGACAAGAAAGGCTTGTTTTTCTTGCATCACATTTTAAGACTACTGCTCTTTTTTCTGCTCACAGTCACTGTCACAAAAGCTCAGATCGTCTCAAACTGGTTTCTTCACCATGACAGTGATTTCACTGTACTCACCAGATCTCAGTCGAGTGGTGCAGCTTTGCGATGTGGTGGAACGCCACATTCACGTCATGAACGTGCAGCTACTGTGTGATGCTTTCATCTCATCTAAACCAAACTAGCATGTGTGTCTTCGGTGGACTTTTGCACTGGTTAAAGCAGCTGCACAAATGTCAAATAACTTTTAATAAAGTCATTATTTGTTGTTGTAGCTGCCTGCAATCTTCCCAAATTACCAGATTAGAAGAAAGACAATGCTCCAAATGAATGTGAAGTCTGTTATAACTAATATGTTCCAGCATTTCCAAGCTACACAAGCTCTTATATTTTATTTCTCTGTGTGTTATTTTGTTTATGCGTGTCTGTAAATGCTAGCTGGTGTTCCTTTTTTCTTTCAATTGCTTCCAAAGTGTCCAAGAATGTTAAAAGTGGAAGCTATGGAAATGAACCAATTGACCTTTTTTCTGACCCTAGAGATCTCCACGCCCTGCGGGAGCACAAACTGTCAGACTGCAGCAGAGTTGGGAAATCAAAGAGATCTGTGCTGTTATTTAGTGCGGCGGCACCTTCAGACCTGCTGCCACTCCCCCAGCATGGATTTCACACACTTTTTTTTGCCACACTGCTTTCAGTTCAAAGAGATAATTTGGTGTTAATGAGAATGGCAACTGTTTAGGAACCACAGCGGCTGGTTTTATTGCTTATCTTGGCATGATTGCACAAAAAACAAATCCACTAGTGATCCAGACATATTTGCATATTTGCAGGGTTATTGTGTGTGTGGGTGTTTTTTTCATCTGCCCTGGTGGGACAGTCCAGCCAAGGAGCCCGGAGTGGTGATTATGTCCTGTAGGGATAACCTGCCATGGTGCTGAGAGCCTAATTGATGCCTCATGCTTTTTGGGAGGCAATTATAGCGTCGAAATGTCAAGACCTAATTTGTGACTCTGTAATGTGGACACGCAGGCCAGAGGAAACGGTGACACGGCTGCTCCGGAGGAACTCACACACTGGTTTGGTCAGCAGATGTGAGGGGCCTCTTTTGAGCGAGCTGGTCTAAAGTGAGGGGACTTAATAAAAAGATGCAATTTTTATTCTGTAAAACAGTTAAAGTTCATGCCTTCAGAGTATAAAACAGGCACAAACATTTAATCAGAAATGTGCACTCAAGTGTGAAATGTGAGCTTACCCATTATCCCAATGATAAATTAGCACACAGTACTGTCATATAATACTCGATCAATCAACGCTGCATTAGCACATATTTTATATTAACAACTGATGAAATTCCTGTTTGTAATATCAAAGCTTCAGCTCTGCGTACTGTTTTAATGCCTTTTAGCTCTTTGTTTTGGCCACAGCCGGACTGTTTTGCTTCACTCCCAATGCTTTCTTAACTTTGCTCCAAGTGCCGAGCAGACGGTTATTTCCAGTGACAAAAGGCTCAGCTGCACTCTGCCAAACAGGAGACAGAGCTGTTGACTGGATGTTGGCATAGTGGAGCATTTAGCATCTGTGTTACAGTTGAAGGTGGAGCTGTAATTATCAACAAATCCGGACATAAAGATGATTATTGACTCCATAAAAAAAAAATAATTAAATTTGCAAACTGATTAGAAAGTGTGAAAAAGTTTTATATTGTTTTTTACATTCTCTTAAACCCTGTTATCTGCGTGTGATTGGTGATTAGAGTGCATCATGTGTGGTATATACTTTTATCGACACCCTGCTGATCTCTGTGTGCTGTTTTTGCTCTTTTAGATGCTAAAAATGGCAGCTGTGGATTTTCCAGCTCAGATTCTTCAGCCTCCACCAGGTTCTGTGTGTTCACGTCCCTTTAGTCGAACAAAGCACCGTCAGTCACCGGCACCGTTTCATGCCTTGTTAACCGAGACTCTAAACTCTGCAGAAATGTGCCCCGGCTTCTTCTCCTTTCTGTACCGCACAACACCTAAACATGGCTGTTTTCTACTAATGTCTCCATGGAGATGCAAACAGAGGAGCATATTTTCCACTGGAGCTGACAGCTCGCGATGTGGAGTGTCAGTAAATCAGGTATGCCGGTCTAATTGCCGCGTGCGAAGTGCAAAACCACAAAATCCTCTTAGCTATGACACTAAAAATTATTGAACTCTAACAAAGTACAATGCAGGACGTGTAAAAAACGCTATTTTTCTTTTTCAGGGCACAAAACATGAAGGACGACTGGAAGCTTGGATCAAGGGATGATATTTGGGAAGGCTGGATGTAGATTTTTCCGGAATGCCTCTCTCTCCCTCTTTCTCTGTGTCTCTCCATAGACTAGGATAAAAGCCTAAAAGTATCAAGTGGATAACGCTATACTTACACTTCTGCTGTAATGCCCATAAACACACATGCAGCTAATAATTTGTGCGCACAGCAATTTACTAAGGAATAAACAAACAACAAAGAGCCTGAAATCAATAGTTGCAGGATTGCAATGACACAAAGCTGCAGGCACCATCCCTGTGCAAACACAGTCTTAGAAGTGGCCACAGCTTTAAAGCAACAGGTGAGCTTCTCGGCACCTCCCCTGTCTTCCCCAATGCAGCCTTCTAAATATAGAAATTATGCTCTCTGATAATTGGGGGCAGACAACAAAGCCGGCTATATTTCCACCCTCCTCCTCCTTCTGCTGCTGCTGCTAAGTCATGTTCCCAGCTGACAAACAGCAGGCCTGAGATCAGAGTGTGAGAGCTTGAGTGCTGAGGGAACACCTGCGCTGCCTGACTGGACTGTGAAGATAGATGAGGAAGATCACTGACTTCCACACCTGCCAGTGGACTCATGCCATACCCACACATTCACACAAACTTGATTTGCTTTTCCCTCCCGAGGGCTCTTTAAGGCCGCTGCTGAGGACGCGATGAAAGTCGGTGGAGCATCCATTAAGCATGGCAGTCGGCCCTCCAGAGTGGGTGTGGACGAAGGGGTTTAAGTGTTTTCAGCAAGGAGTCGTGGACCACCTGGAGGAGGAGGAACAGGGGGAACAAAAGCATCTGTCTAAAGGGGCCAAGTTGACTCCAAAAAACCCCACCAGTTTAACAAGTGCCAAAGAGCACTTCTGGGCATCAGGTATCACAAGTCAGGATTTCCAGCATGTTTAAAGAGATGATCTTCAAAATGTGAAAAGGGAGGGCTTACGTGCTTAGATTGGACAAAGTCTGCTTTTCGTGCCTACAAAGGCAATGGCGACAAAGCCTGCACTGAAACATTAATATTGTTGGAGGTGTCGGGAACAAAAACAGCAAAAAGCTCCAGGTCAAAGTCACGGACAAACTCTGGAAAACATGGAACAAGACAGGAACAAAGCCCTGTTTGAAAACTGAGTGTCTAAAGAAAGACATGCTGGAATAGGCCTGTGTGCGTGTGTGTGTGTTACTGGATGGACAGGGGGATGTCCACGTGCGTGCAGGATATATAATCCACTCCTGGATGCTGTCATTAATCGACAACAGTTGATGTTCAAGGTGTGCAGGTGGGAAAGTCCCACAGTATCACTCTGTAGACAGGAGAGAGTTGGCAGCAGGGTTGACTATCCATATCAAGACAACCCCACTGGCTCACACACTCACACACGCTCAGTTCACAGACTGATCTTTCATGCTTCAACACAGATCTGATCCCAACCATGGAGGAAACTGTGTACAGATAAGAGATACTGCAATGTAGTTTTATTTTGATGTTCATGTGCAATTAATATTTTGAACATAAAGACATATTGAGAAAAAAAAGAGAGAAAGAGACACTACAATTTCTTAAAGATGTCTTGGCCACCTGGACATTCTTTAATAGGACATGACAACAAGGCTACAAATCTCAAATGGTGAGCAGGACTTTCTTAATCCTTATCGCCCTGACCTCTTCTTTTTATGCAGCTGCTAAAGTGGCAGGACCCGAGCTAAAGGTCAGATTTTATTTGGCTTCGATCATGTCCTCTACGTTTGGAGCGTTCGGGAGGGAAGCTTTGAAGTTTTATGCATCCATCAGGTCTATGATTCGTCTCCGGGCGTAATGGCATCCATAAAGAAAGACAACATTGATCTCATAAGCAGGTTTAAACTGTTGAGAGGCAAAGTTAACCAGTAAAGCACACCTTTTTTTTTTTTTTTTTTTAATACCCCCGGGGCAAGTGCCCCGTCAAAAAAAAAAAAAAAATTCACAGTAATCACATTATGATAAAATGCATGCCAGATGTGGGAATCTTTTCAAAGAATTTGCTATTGTTTTTCATACTTTTTTAGTCATTAGTACTAGCTGAATAAACGACAGTTCAGTTCAGTGTGTCAGTTTTTCTATAGTACAGTTTCTAGTGGGCTTCTGTTTTCTATATTATCGTTACAATTCTAGCTGTAAAAATATATTCTCAAATAAATAAATATATAGCATAAATATGTGTATCTAAAATGAATAAATAAGCTTTTACACTTTGTTTTTTTAAACAGGTCTAAAGACAGGTGAGATTAAAAAAAAATCTGTATTCCTTCAAAGTCCTTCTGATCAAGCTACGTCTCTCTGAGTGACACTGTAGTACCATCTTGTAATGTCACAGATTCCCACAGACTCCACACCAGCTGGCATCTCTGTCCAACCGAGGAGATACTCCACAACCGTTCAGCCCTGCTTCTTATTTGTCTCCTAATCCACGCAGGTACTTTTGTGGAAACAAATGACGCCCTCATGCAGAGCGTGCAGACATTCTAGCCTGTCCTCCTGGCTGCTGAGAGATGATGGCCCATGCATTCCTACAAGAGGCCCCCCACCCCCTTCTCCGATGCCTTTATCCCCGCTGGTCGGGCTGCTGTTCACCAGCCTGCGACCGGTCACATCCCCGCCTGCATCCCTCCTTCTTCCTTTCTGCTCCCAGGACTGCCTGCCAAGGCTTTTTAAGCATCTATTCCTGATCTGGACCAGGCCTCCAGCTCTCAGCTGTGTCCCAGGATATCCCTGTACAGCTCTGGCACGCGCTCAGGGTCCACAGGCCTGGGCAAGAAGTGTGTAAATTTCTGGTGCCGCCTGGATTTAGTCCCATCCCTTGGTGTCCCATCTTTATTTAATGCCACAAAGTAACGCGTCCCTTTGTCTCCGTGCTTGTAGCGGTTGGATGAATACGTGTTGTACCAGTTCTCCTCAAACTGCTCCCTGAAGACACAATCAGCCGTGAGCTCCTTCTGCAACATGATGTGGGGGGAAACAGAAACACACATCCCAGTTATTCATTAGGATTATTAATTATAGAGGAATGAAAAAGTCTTTCGCAGGGGAAAAAATTGAGAAATAAAGATTTAGGCAACAGGAACAAGAGAAATGATACTTACAGAGCCATACAGCTCTCCTTTGTTGTTCATCCCCAGATAGAGTCCACTGTCCACCCCTTTAATGCTTATCAATCCAACAGCCAGGCTTATGAATTCCAAAATACCTGCAGGAGAATAACACAGTTGTTCTGTAAAGCCTGGCAGAGATAAAAGAATACGATCAAAGAAACTCCGTTCATTACCACAATTAATATTTGTAAATAATCAGAATCAGATCGAAACCTGTCTGTTCTAATACCATTGTTGGCGCGTTTTCTTTCTTCCTCTCATTTGTTTAATCTCAACTACTTTTCTGCAGGTGGAATTATATTTAGAAAAAAATGATCTTAGTATTTACCAAAACGGCTGTGGTCCTTCCTCGTGCCTTGCACTGTGCCATCCGGAAGTATTTCCAGATGAAATCCAGTTCTGCAGTACAACTGCCTCCTCCTGAGAATTCCTTTGAGGTGCGTTAAATCCGAGAATCTGTCCCCAGGTACGAGGTGCTCTTCCAGCCGCGTCTGGCTCTCCGTGAGGAAGAAATGAGAGCCGACTTGTGCGACACCGTCGATGCCGTGCCAGACGCCTCCAACTTCTCCCAGAGTGGCAGCACCACCACCACCAGCAGCCATCGCGTCCGAGCTCAGCGGGTAAAGTTCAGAGAGGAGGTCCGGAGGGAGCGCTCTTGCGTAGTAGGCTACCTGGCTGCCACTTATTGCATGTTTACGTCCCTTCTCCTCCTGTGTTACTTAGCACATGTCCCCGTGTGGCAGTCACAGCCTCGGGTTCGTTTCCCCTGACATCAAACACTCAGAAAATCTCAGCTACTGGCTGCACAGACTTCTCCGGGTTGTTGTTGGGTTGTTTTTTTTAAGGTGCGCCTTCTTCATCAGTTGGAGGTGGGCTGCAGTTGCTGGTCAGACAGCCCGCATGTTGCATACCTGTCCACAGTAGATGCTCGCGCCTCTGTTGTGCCGTGGCGGAGGTTTCAGTAAGTAAGGGGCTCGTTGAACGCTGCAGTGCAGGTAAAAGGAGCTCCTGGAGGTTTTGTGCTCAGAGGCAGGTGCAAAACCACAGGACTCGTAGTGGGCGGGGCTGTCAGATTAGACGTGCCCTTACAGGGCCTTTTCCCCCTCTTATCTCAGTAAGAGAGAAAGAGAGTTGTTGGTGGGCTGGTGGCTTAAACTGAGCGCGCGCATCACTTAAAATAAAACCAAAAATAGCAAAGATAAACTATAAACCACTTTACATCACCTTTTACACGAGATATAACTCTACGTGTAGTTTCCCCCCCAGCAGTTCTTTCACTCCTACAAATTTGACGTTCTTTAATCCATGAGCTACTTGAAATACCCACGGCATTTCTCGCGAGCTCGCGAGTAGCAGACGGCTCGAGCTCCCCTGCTCTCCCTCTCTCTCTGTCTGTGTGTGCGCGTGATATCGGTTACGACACCATAGTGTAAACAGCCATGGCTGCACTGCGCAGGCTTATCGTTTCATTCAGCTCCAAAGCAGAGACGTTCACGGCGCAGAAACCGCCTCAAACACCCTCAAAGGCGACTAAAGCGCAGAAACTTATCGCAGCGGGAGCGAGCATCACAGCCGGCGCCGCTTATTATTACTATTATTACTCCTGCCGCTCGCACGTCGGTAGGCGCCCCGGACTGAAGAGCCACGTCGAGGCTCGACTCATGCATCTGGCGCTGCCATCAGTTTCCGCCACCGATAAGGTACGATAAAGTAAGCAGCGGCTGCTGTATGGCGACAACATTCAGCTCACTCCAATACACACACACACACACACACACACACACACACACACACACACACACAGAGGAAAGAAATTAAAAATACTCTCAGTTTATCTTCAATGAACAGCAGCAACCTGAACCCCAGCACGTGATCACCAAGACAGCCTCGTGCACGTGAAGTGACAGTTATAATTATATGTCGTTACCATAAGGAGCTATCCGCGACCTTTGGTGCTGAAATGGCAAAAAAAAAAAAAGTGGTCAAAAGGCGTCCCAGATCGCGTGGCCAAGTGGCCACCATGACTGAAGGTTTTGCCTGATTGGCTTACAGCCTATGGGCCAAGACTGAACATTTAATGTTGTGTACGCACTGCTGTGTAGATTTAAGTGGACAACGTAAGAGGAACACCTGACTGCATTTGTAACCAGATACTGTGCTGCAGTGTATTTGTTAATATCAGAATTTGTTCTGTGTGGTGTTTTCTAAAATACTTTTCTATAATTTACTATTTTAGCATTTTGTAAGTGGTCTGAATGACTTGTAGTATGACGATATATACTGCAGTATACTTCCTCTATCTATACTCTCACGGATCAGTTTGTCAGATGCACCGTCCTATTACCAGGTTTCACTCTTTTACCTTCACAGCTGCTTTAATTCTTCGTTTCATAAATGCAACAAGGTGGTGGAAACACTCTTCTGAGGTTCTGGTCAATGTTGACTTGACAGCATCACATAGTTGCTGCTGATGTGTCGGCTTCACTTCCACGATAGGAGTCTCCTGTATCAGCACATCCCAAAGGTGCTCTGTTTGACTGAGATCCGGTGACTGTGGAGGCCATTTGTGTGCAGTGAACTCACTGTCATGTTCAAGAGGTCAAGACTGTGATAATAAGGGGATGAGTATAATCGATACAATACTCAGGTAGGCTATAGTATTTAAATGATACTTAGTTGTTACTAACAAGCCCCAAGTGTGCCAAGAAAATATGCCCTGCACCATCACACACCACCACCAGCCTAAACTGTCGATACAAGGCAGGATGGATCATGCTTTCATGTTGTTTCTGCCAATTTGTGGCCCTACTATCCAAATGTCTCTTGAGAAATTGAGACTCATTAGACTAGGAGTCTTTTTCCCCAACCTTCTCTTGTTCAGTTTTGGTGAGCTGGTGTGAATTATAGCCTCTGTTCTTCTGCTGCTGTAGCCCATCTGTTTCAAACTTAGACGTGTTGTGCATTCAGAGATGCTCTTCAGCATACCTTGGTTGTGTTGAGTTACTGTTGCCTACCTATCAGCCTGAAGCAATCTGGCCATTCTCCCCTGACCTCTGGCATCAAAATGGCATTTTTGCCCAGAGAATTGCTGCTCACTGGATATTTTCTCTTTTTCAGACCACTCGCTGTAAACCCTAGAGACGGCTGTGTGAGAAAATCCCAATCTGGCATTAAAAACCATGCCATGTTCAAAGTCACTTAAAAAAAACACATTTCTTCCCCATTCTGGTGGTCAGTTTCGACTCCATCAGGTTTTCTTCACTGCATCTATGTGCTTAAATGCATTGAGTTGCTTCCATGTGATTGGCTGATAAGATATTTGTGTTTAAAAGAACTTGGACAGGTGTATCTAATAAAGTGGCCAGTAAGTGATCATCTTATCTAAACAGGACTGGATGTTATTTTAAAATATTATGTTTTCTTTGTAAATGAAACCTTTGTGGTGATTTTGCTTTTCAGGCGCAACGTTGCCTTCTTTCAAAAAGCAAGGACAATTCATGGCATCTGAGCAGCTGTAAACCAGAACAACACACAAAGGAGTCATTTTAATTCTTTAAAGCTTCTTTAAAACATGAAGTAATTGCCAGAAAATTAAATCCTTTTTGTGAACCTTCTGATAAAAAAATTAAATATTAATTTGCATGTATGAGTTTTAATTTGTGTCATATTTGCTACATCAGGGGGAGTCACACTGATGATGTAGAAATCTAAAACCCCCCAAATTCATGTATCAAATATTGGCTTTAAAGGATTAAAACACACTGGAAAGTACACAGTATTTAGTAGCATTTAGACAAAGAGGACAACTGCAAAAAATAAAAAAACAGATAAATTAAAATCCAAAGAAACAAGTAATTGCTGTCACTTCAGCAGATTTTTAAATGTTTCTGATTCAGGTCTCCCCCTGTTTATACCCATTCTTTTCAGCACCAATTATAAGCTTCATACACAGACTTTTGCAGCCTGGTTCTAATTGTTTAACCTGCGTGCATTGTGTCCTGTTACACAGCACCGCAGAAATGTGTCGACAATGCTAACAAGATTTTTACAGATCATTGGGGGATGTAAACAAACTCGTAAACCATGTGTGATGTGCTCGCTTGGCTCCACGCAGCGAAAAGATTGCTTCTTTGATATCTGTGGCTAGGAGGGAGGTAAGCTCAACTGGTGTCCACATAAAGGGGCGATCCAGGGACACAGGAAACTGGACACCAGAGTTTGGCGGACATGCTGATATTTGATGAGAGGCGGGGGTGGTTAGAGGGGGTTTAATGGTTAAGCAGAGGGGGGCACGCATTCCCCGGGTGTTTGCTCTGTGCCCAGTGGACCTGGCGGTGTGCCACCTGACAGAGAGATCCACTCTGTCTTCACCAGTCCGGCCTTCTGATCTGCCTGGGTTTGAGCAGTTGTAGGGACATTATCTGCTGTGCAGGGATGAAAAATAAGGCTGACATAACATGCGCCCCATTACCGAATTAAAGCATGGGCTTCTTTGTTGTGCCATGTGAGCGAGGCTTTTCGTGACAGAAAAAGCTTCCATGGATTTCATAAGAAGCATCTTTCAGACACTGTAATCACTGATATGATTTGCAGTATTTCATGGCGCATGTGTGTCTGTGTGTGCTTGCAGACAAGAACCTACGGTCTGGATGATGGAGATGCCTACATGTCCTCCTATGAAAACAGATTTCGTCTGTTCAGTTCGGTGGAGTACGAGGGACAGCTCTACATGACTCCGCTGAACTTCATCGAGTCGGTCACTCTGAGCGAACCAAAGAGTGAGTCAGCTCCTGACAGCCAGCTCACAACACAGTGCCACATGTGCTTTGAAAGGAATGAAGGAATGAGTGTTGGTGCTCGGGTCAAATGGTTAGCCAGTCAATTAATCTCTTACTTATTCTACTTTATAAAATGCCAGGATTAGCTTGAAGATTTCACTGTGGCCTTTGGGGCTATAAAGAGTGTGTTTTCCTCCTTTTTTTCACTACACGGTCAAACAATTCATAAACTGCTTTTAAATCTTTGCCCTTTATTGAGCCAATAGGACCTTTGGAGACCTTAGAACAAGAAACTGACAGTAAAAAACCTTTTTTCAGTTCACCTATGTGTATTGCTTTAGCACATTGAAATAAATGGTAAAATTGAGTTTTGGTTCTTTTCTTACAGCTCAGTAAATAAAGCCACAATGTAAAATTCAATTCAGCTTATTTTATCTATATAAAATCAATTAAACCTCTTTATATTTTAAGGTAAAGACCCTAAAATAAATCAAAGGAAACAGAGAAAACCCCAACAATCACACGACCCCCTGTGAGCAAGCACTTTGGTGACAGTGGGAAGGAAAAACTCCCTTTTAACAGGAAGAAACCTTCAGCAGAACCAGGCTCAGGGAGGGGCGGGGCCATCTGCTGTGCCTTGTTTATAATAAACAAGCATTTTATAAAATAATCAGACATACCAGGTTCAAATCTAGGGCGCGGGTGCTCATTCCATGGAAGAATCAGCTGTTTTTCTTTTTCTTCTTTTGTAAAATAACTTTAGTATACTTAACAAAGCCACACGAAATTGTACCTTCCTGTTATGAAAACTGTTCACGGTTACAGGCCCTTGAAGCACATTTAAGTTGGCTGAAATATTTTAGCTTTTTAATTCACGTTATTCAGCCAACATTTTTGAGTCCTCAGAGCCTCTTGAATACACATCCAGGAGAGCATGATGGACAGCAAGAAATGGTGTATCCTCCCAAGCCAACCCGGCATGCTTCCACCCACACCTCATCAGGTGTTTAATTAAGCCCATGCAACACCCAAACAGTCCACCATCATCAGTGCGAGGACAGTTTGGGCTGCAGAGGGACGTAACACTTTACTTGACTGTCGTCTCTTTATCTCACGGTTTTGCGTTCCACCTTTATCAATAATCTTGTTAATTATTTTCATACTAATATAGCTTTTAGTGGCAATTGACTGCTACCTGGAGCCTCAGGTTAGGGTTGGACCAACATTTAGCACCTGCAACTATGCTGTATTGTGTCTCGCAGGGGTTCATATCGGAAAGTGCCATTCCAGAAATCA